ACGTCACGTGACGTTATGTTTTATAGAATGTTCACTTTATAGCAACAGTTTTCATTTATTAGAGGCCCCCACAAAAATTTTTTTTTCGTAACTTTAATGAAAAAGTTTACGATTTATTTTAATTTGCAAATTAATTACAGGGGTATGAATATATCGCGGGGATATTTAATAAAATTTGCATTGAGGAGAAATTATAATGTTTATAATGTTTATAATGAAAAAAATTTATAGACAAAGGCGCGTGAGGCAATTCGAGAAATGATAGGCACCGGCGATGGTTGCAGGAGAAACATCGTCGCCATTAAATCGGTTATGTTCTCGGCTCTTACCGAGGTTACCTCGGGTCTTACCCTGCCGTTTCGCGCTAATATTAAAAGCTACTACTTTTCAGTCCACTGGAATTTCTACGATCGCAATAAAAGACAGCCGAGTTTACCTATAAATCAATGATACTCCGTGCCAGGTGGCTTGCGCTCCAAATGCTTAGCTCTCGCGAGAATTTTCGTTATGGTAAAGTTAGTTTGCCTGCGTCTGACTGCACAAGTAATTAAAGGGGTTAGTCCGATGTAAAGATCCGAGTATGAGAAACTATTTAAAAACTTCTTTTCTTTTAATGTTCAATTATTGCTGGCACATTGGAAAATAAAATTATCATAATAATCCACTTATTTATTAAACAATGACCGTTTCCTTTTGCACACTTGCAGATTTATAAAATAATCGATTATAACTTTCTATTACATTCCGTTTTACTAATAAATAATTTTTATTTTAATTTTTTTTTTCCTTTGTCATCTAACATCAAATAAAAACGTTATTAATTCACATGTGAAAGAATATATAAAATTTTAATTGTAATTAAAACGAAAATGTTGCCGTGAGCTTTTCATCGATTTCATAGAATTCGTTGACGAATATTTTCTCAAAGTTCCTCATATAAAGTACATCCCGTCCCATAATGTCGCTCGGAAAAGCGCGGCGCGGAAAATTAAATTAACGTATTTTGTAAATCAACGACACTCCATGCCGCGCTTATTTAAACGCGCATGAGCGCGTTTAAAATTGTGCAAATTTTGAAATGAATATGGAATACATATTTTCCCTGTGTATATGCACAGACACCGGGAGGGTAAATACTTTAAACAGTTTATCACCGACGAGAGATGTATCGCGCTCGTAGGGAGATATATATCCTCTCGCCCGCTTTCATATCGTCGAGCGTGAAAGTTAAAACGTGTTCCGGTTACAGGTAGAACTTGCTACCATCAAGAGTCCATTCATACCAAACTCACGGAGGTATCGTTGCAAAATGACATTACTCGCCGCGTCCTGTTGCGCGTTCTGTATGCAGAGCGCAATTTGCTTTCCGACAGTTTATACAAATGCCGCCATTCCAAAAGAGCATCATCTCGTTCGAACATAAGAATAGAAACGACTGGCGCGTCCACTACATCATTCCATATCCCGCTTACTAACCACATTTAACATATATTTTAAGAACATATTTCCATTTTTCATTTATTTAAATTGCATTTATTATCCTCTTGATATTATTACTTTTAACAATAAATCTTTTTTTCACTGAAACATTCCATTATTTGTACTTTTAATGATCTTTTTCTGTAATAATAATTTTTAAACGATATAAAAGAGAGATGTATGTTTTATTCGTATAACTGCTTTATTCCAAGAATTTCTCCTTCTCACTTTCTCTCTCTCTCTCTCTCTCTCTTCCTTTCCTTTCTCATATTTCATATTTCAGTTATTAAAATAATACGGAAATTGTATTAAACTTATAAAAAAGTATATTTACCGAAAGACATATCGTCATTTTTACCTGTAAAAAGCAATTAACTGTAAGCTAGCTTTTTCATTTCTCGTTAGTTAAACGTCAGCAAAAGTGTGCTGAGACGACACTGTTTTTTTACCGCTAATCCTGGAGCCAATCCTTTCGTTCAACAATTTCCTGGCGGCGCGGCCCGGCGCCGTAACACTCCGAGCGCGCCGTTGACCGTCGTTAATCGTTTCGTAAATACAGCGAACTAAATACAGTCTCTATCTAAAGTCAATCGTAAAATATTTACTCACATCGCCGCGCGCGAACCATTGTGCGTAAATATTTGATCATCGATTATAACAGTTATCGCTGTAAAATTTGACTTTTCGGTTTCATCTTCCACCACAAGCTCATCTTCTCTTTCGATTTTATTTTCATTTTAGTTAATCTCTAATCAATAGATATATAATAATATTGTTAAATATTATATACATTATATATATTAAAAATATTATAAATGGATCGATATACGATTTAAGGATAATATAAAGGAAACCTTTTTTTTAAACGATGTGAGTGTATGTGCCTGTGCCTCGGTGCGTATTTGTATATTGTTTATTAATATTCTCAAGTTGAAAAAACTTCTCAAGTTCAAAAAATTTTTCGTATCTGTAGAAAATCTCTTGAAAAATTCAGATTTTTCTCGAAATAAAAAAAGATTATAGAAATGCAAAGTATGAAATGCGGTTAATTGATTTGCACCGAATGTCAAGCTTTCAGAAGACAAAATAGCAAAATTTTTCTATTTCTTTCTCTTATCGCCGATGAAACGATTTTTCAATTGGCGGAAGGAACATTAATGTTTTTCGTATCACGTACTCGTAAAAAGTTTCGGATGAAAACGCGTAAAGTTGTGTACCAACAAGTTTTTATTGGAAATACGCATGAAAATACGCATTTTCGTACGAATCTGTTTTCACTTTTACAAAATTAAATCGATGAATTTGTAAATAAATGTACTTAAATATAAATGAATTTATAAATTATTTTTCCATTCCAAATAATTTTTTCAATTATTCACTGGCAGATTGCTTGTTAAAAAGCTTGCTGTTTTCAGTGTGGCTATTTTGTAATTCTACGATTCAAGCAGATTTTGATTGATTAATTGGCCTTATTAATCGATCGTAACAATTGAAGAGGAAATAGCGAGGATCCGCATCGCGGAGTAATCCTGCCACGCATGTAATTCCACGCTCGCTCGCAATTACGTCCGGTGGCTGTAATTAGATATTAATCGATTGCAAATTATGATAATGCATTCGCTGCGGTTTTGTGTTTTGTGTCGAAATATGCGTCGGTTTTTCTTTTCGCCTGCTGGCAATAGCATTCCGGGAATCACGATTGGTTATTGCGGTGCACGCGCCTCATTAGGTGCTTTATCTGTCAACAATTAATCCTTTTGCTGTTACAAGCTACGCGTGTTGCGTGCCCTTTCGACCGCGATCACGCTTCGTTATGGGGATGGAATGATCGTTGGTGACGATGGATATTTTGCGGCGAAAATGCGCGCCGTCTATACTCGTCTAGCTTGAATTTTATGCGTTAATATAAAGTGCCAACATACGCTATTCGGAATTTTGTGATAAGAATTTTCTTCATGAATTTTAAATTTTAAATTACTTCTTTCTTTAGGAAATTTCATGGAAGGTCTGGCAACTTGGAAATTTATATAAATTATTAAAAATTTTGTATTAAATGATAATAAAATTTTCCGACAAATTTTTATCTCCCTAAAGGGAAAAAGTCTATTTAAGTTTTAGGAACAAATAATAAACTTTTATTATTAATTATTATTTATGCATTATTAATCATGCATTATTATAATGATGCAATTTATAAAAACTCCTTATGGATTGGTTTGGCTACTTGATACTTTAATTAAAATGAGTCTTTTCTTCTCATATCATCTCATTTCATTTTTTCGACCAGCACCCGAGGGCTTTTAGATAAACAATTCCTTACATTTCAACGGATTTATAAGACTAACTTTTTAGAATTCCGTGCGAACCATCACATGATGTTTATTTAACCTAAATAATTTCTTTGCGAAATCTTTATTTTGCATCTTGCTCCATTACTTTTGTATATTATCAGAAGTATTTTTCTCCTCGCGTATCAAGAGTAGCAATCAATATATTTTCTTTTTTTCTCTCTTTTCGCGAGATATATTTTTTTATTTGTCATTATAAGACAAAGTGTTTACTTCTTATTGCTAACAAAGCAAACAATATTCTCTTCAAATTAATAAAAGAATAATATAATGTTTTCTTTAATCGATATCAATATTATTTTGTTTGTATTTGAAACCATCTATATGACAATTATTATATTTTATAAAATATCTCACTTTATTTTTGTAAAATTTTATTTAAATTCTGCATTCTTTAACAAAAACATGTATCAATTTTCCTCTATGCGCATCGGATAGAGTTTGCTTAATGTCAATTTCAAAAGTAATAATACTCGCAAATTATACAATTTATACTGCAAAATGCACAGAAATTCTCCAAATAATATGCAATAATGTTTCCCGACTGACAAACAGTCAGTGCGGGAAGTTACTAATGTCCGATGTAGCGCAGAGACTTACTACTGTCTGTTGTAGTGCAGGGTTTTACTACTGAGGGAGATGCAGCGCTAGAATTTACTACTGTATAATCGCAAGTGCAAAGTTACTTCTCTAACTATAGAGTATGTAGCATTATGCGAATGCGTGTAACTTATCATCCGATTTGAAAGATTGCTATTGCCAATAGTGTATTGTTGCGGAACTAATTTTAGGTACCTTTTTTAACTCCACAAACTAAATCTTGACTAAAATAAATTTAAAATTAAAAAAAGAGATGAGATTTTATTATCTATTTCAATTTTTACAAAGATATATTAGAATCATATTTTATATATTTATTTTTAAAGAGAAAGATAAACTATTTTCTGCAACTATTAGATTTTCGATCGTTCTTAATTAAAAAATTATTGACTCTTCAAGTCAATATTTTTATTTATAAAAATTTTTAGTTTATAAAAAATTTTCACAAGATTTTGATTTTTTCCACAAGAAAATAAATTTTTTTGTCAAAAATCTATCTACGACATGTGTAACTTAAGGATTTTCTAAAATGCCGAGAAAATTATCACGCAAATTGGAAAAATGGACACCTACCTTTTCGCTGATTGACGTCAGCTAGCTGACAGAAGCAGGCCTGCCGAAGAAAATCTACGGGGATGATGGTGTGTCGTCCAGCGACGGTTGATACAGCTCTGCGAAGGCGAACTGTCCGCCGCGCGTTTATATAAGCCCGCGCGACTTTGCGACTCTCGCACCCCCTCACACCCCATGCACGTCCCCACCTACGGGGGTTGGTTCCCACCCCGCCGTCGGTTCGCCGCCAAAGCATTCTCGTCCAATCAAACGTACCCGTATACCTCGGTCACAGCGTTCCTGCCTCTGTCCCCGACGACGGCGGACACCTACGATCTTGTGCGAACACGAATCTCACCACTGGCGACGAGGCTATCGCTGGGATTTCTGAATATAGGTGTATTCCACAGGTGCTTGCCCCTGAAAACTTTCGCGCGAGGAGGATCCATCGTCCCTTGATGGATTATCAACGCTGACTGGTAGCAGATTCGAAAAAGCGCCGATGGAACGTCAAATGGATCCCATTGTGCAGCCGATTTTTGTCGCAATCCGCATTATGTCCGACGAACTGAAAATACCTACTCGATATTTCTCGTTCACAGGAGAGAGAAGCCGCGACGTATACAACGACAGCGGCGATACGTAATTTATCATTATATTTTCCAAATGCGGCTCTCTGACCTAACATTTTTTTCTTTTTTTAATATTTTTTGGATAATTACACGCTTTCGATCATTTGGAATTTGTTCTGCAAAATAATAATTCTAACGTCAGAACGCACGCACGCAATTCAAAATCGACGATTACGGCGAGGCACGGGCTTTCATCTACGGTAGAACGGTTAAATCGCGATTTCGAATTTCAATCGTTTGCCTTTGAATATCTCTAAGTGATATTAGTTTTAGAGGTCGCTTTAGAAATAGGATACCAGAAATGCAAATCAATCGAAATGCAAGCCAAAATGCGGCTCTTCCTCTCTGATCCGCTCGCGTCTGTTGTCGCATCGTAGGTTCCGGCTGGCCACGCAAAATATGTCTGATTTATGCATGTAACTTGCTGCCCGCGCATCGATATGTGACGAATTCGATATGTCGGCGATCGTCGAAAGCCGGGCGGATTGCGTCACGCGTGTTCGCAGCCGAATTCGAAATTATTCCAAATCGTTTAGCAACGCGTTACGCAGTCGCGTAAGAAAATGACGGTAAAATTAGGCGAGTCACTAGACAAACGCTTCGCTTAGGAGACGAACGCGAGAAGAAAAAAGTGGATGGAAACGAAAGCGGGTTAAGAGAAAAATATCAAGCCACCAGTCATTAGTCACGTTCGAGCCATCAATTTTCGATATAAAACTCGAGCCGTTCGAATTTCTGTCTCTGACTAATACCGACGCAAACGTTTGCGAACGTTCGGAAACAAAATCTATATCAATCTACTGAGTCTAGCGCGCGTCATACATTTCAATTCGCAATGAATCTCCGATGTATATTTTTTTGCGATTTAACGCGATGTATATTTTTTGACTACGGAACGCCGAGTTAGTCGTTTACTATGAGATAGGAGCGATTTGTACTAATGGCTAATACAATTTGAATCGCTCGTCTGTCATTTGCATACTGATGACCACAACGATATATTCAATTTCATTTGCACACTGATGATGGCGGTAATATGTATTCAATTTCCCAGCCGCCACCATGATCGATCTAAACTCGCAGCTACTCTCAAAAAGAAAAAAATAAATAAATAAATAAAAAGAATATATATTATCGCGATACGCAATTCGTGGTGTCGATTGCCGTCGCTGTTTGCGCAGCAAGACCCACGGAGGACCGGTGTACACAAATACAATCGGTTTCTCGTAACGGCGAATCCACGAAGAAATATCCAATTTATCGCAGGTACAACGAGCACTGTTTGTTCCCACTCGCGTCTCGAGTGGGTCAGGTTGCCCACTCTTACACTATATACGCGCTAACGTGGACAATCTCCCTATATAAATATATTTTATCGAAAAGAGTCGCAGAGCTCCTTATCATTTTAAAATAGAAGCCTTTGTACTGAAATTTTTACTGAAATTTATTCCTAAATTATTCGCGATAGAAATAAAATATATAAATGTAGTCAAATATTTATATATTATTCAAGCTTCGGATGGACTCGCATAAATTCGCGCGATTTCCCTGTAGGCGTTTAATTTCTCGATATAAATCATCCCTTGCTATCGGTATTACAAAAACATTTTTCGGCGTCGATGTTATAAATTGTTTTTTGCTATCGGAGACGCGAGTCAGATTTAAATTTAAATTTAATTGACGTATCTTTGATGTAATCGTTATACTAAGAAGGTAATGTTTTACAAAAATTTGTTTCGCATTCAAAGATCGAAAATGTCACGTACGCTGAAAGAGCGAAAATACATGTTGGCGTACACGACGGCAAAGAGCGCGGTAGTATAATTATATCTGCCATTGTCCTTTTTTATCTCTCGCATTCCCGCGTCTCATCTTTCTTCTTTTCCTCGTCGTTCTCGCTCTCTGTCTCATCCTCGAAACGTGGGAGCACCCTCGACTTTCCCTTTTTCCCTCGGTCGTATCAAGAACTGCATTATTACCGTTTATCGTGCGGCCCCTTTTCAGGGCGCCGCCTTATGCCATTGTCGCCATGCAAATTATGTAATAGCCCATTTTAATAATGCTCGCGAAACAGCGAGCACTCGAAACAAATAGCTATCGCAGGCATAATATGGATATAAACGACTAGATGAAATACCATCGTGATGCGTTTGATATACGGCAAACGTGTTGGTTTGGTATTGTGAGTCATTCGGCTCCCGCCGACGCAACACGTGTCGGAGGTTTAAAAAAATGAATGAATTAAAAAGAGCAAGTCAAATTTATTCGGTTTGATCATAATAATAAATTAATCGGTTATTAGATATGAAAAATGTGCATAACGTTACCAATATCTGCTATGTTGGACATCCGTTAGATATTTCATATATATTTTATGTGTATTTATGTTTTATTATATTTGATATATATTTTATATATATTTATATTTATATATTTATATACTTATATATATTTATATATTATATACTTATACATATTTATATATTTATATATTCGCATACTTATATACTTGTATATTTATTTTAGATATTACGCATTACAAATCGTTTTTTTTTATTTTATATTTCATAAAAATATTTAATAAAAGATATCTATATTTTACTTAGATAAAATCAATTCCAGAATGTATATTCTATTTTACATAGTAACTATCGAAAAGCGCGGAAAAATAGTACTTATGTAAATCCTCTTATTAATTAATCATTTACGACATACATTGCCGATTGATTAGAATTATATAATATTTATTAATAAATAGATAAAAATAGAGAAAATATAAATAGAGAAAAAGTTAAGCTTTCCACTAGCCATGTTTGTCTTAAGCGATAATATTATAATATGATTATGACGTAACGTCATTATGCAAAAGTGCAAGAAAGTAGTGCATGTCCTGACAGAAATAGCTTAGCGTTAAATTAATAAACAGGAAACATTAAGGAAATAATATCTGTTCTATTATCGTTTGCGCAATTTACGCATCAACAGTTTTGAATTATAATTCATTTTCAAATAATTCAACATAATTACACTAAAGCAAACACGATTCTGTATCTAACGAAATATCCGAGAAACGATATAAACAATTCCTGTTAATAACGCAGTTGCTATTCGAGATTAGTTCTGCGTGTGCCATCGATTTTTGAATATTTGCTGGAAGATATACAAGAATTTTTGCACGATAACGAGATGTAACGTTCTGTGATCTCTCGTTCGAGGACTGAAATTGAAATTCAAAATGTATAGCATGTCGAGGGAGAAAGGCGGTCCACGACCGTCGGATTGTTAACAAGATCCGCTCATGCAAATTCATTTAATAGACAGGACGAGAGCGCCCCGCTTTTGCTATCCAATGAATTATCGGTTGATTTATCGGTTATTAATTTATCTCTTGTCGTCGATAGACTTAAGGTTTCGTTCAAGTATTCGAAAAAGACAAATCGTCGAAAAATCGATTCGGGATTCTTAATTAACGGCATTAATTATGTAACATCATTCTTGATTAGACGTGGCGTGAGGCAAAATTGACTCGCCCTCGTGAGACGAGCGAGTTATTCTAACCGGGAAACGTCTCTTCCAGAATAAATAGTTCCATCATTGTGCGTTCGACTTGAAACTACGAGAGAACAAATATGAACGAGAAATGCGTGCGGGTGGTAGTCGTAATGGAACGCATTACTCTGCGGCTCCGAATGTAACATAAGTAATATGCACTGCTTAGGACAGATCATAATTACACACGGGAAAATGCGGTTAAACTGAGAAGAAAATGTGAAACGGCAAAATGTAATGCAAAATCACGTATTAATAATAACTTTGCGAATATCAATCAATTACGTATACAAAATTAACAGATTTTCTGCTTTATGGAACGCATTAGATAAAAATATGTTAAGATATATTAAAAATATTATGTTTAAAATTAATATCCCTTGAAAATCTTCTTACGTTAAAAAAAAAGATTATCATATTTAAATTATATGCAATTTAGAATTTAAACGTATGTGGTAAAATTCATACCTTTTCACTTTTTCCATTTATCATCTCACGTACATTTTTTTTAAATTCTTTTTTTCTTTCGCATTTCGAGGAATTCATATTTCTCACAGGATTTTCATGTTTCCTAATATTACACCACTATTCCTTCCTAATATTACACCCCCGCTTATTCGTCGTAAGTTTGAAAATACTAACGTAAGTATACGTAAAGTATAACGTAAGTATACGTAAAACGCAGCTACAGCGTAAGAAACTTTAGAATAAAGGAGATTATCGAAACGAATTTATTGTGTATATTCTGCTTTTATAAATAAAGCCGTTACGTACACAAGTGCAAAAGTGCGAGATGTGGCTTTACTACACATGAAACGATCATTCTCCCCTGCGGACTTTGCTCTCCAGCCCCGTATGAGCGGAACGCAAAAATCGTGACGCAAAGATAAAAATTTCAGCTTCTTCGATCTCGGCATGCTATCATTGATAATTGCATCGATAAAATAAAAATCGCAATTTG